TTTATGTGGTTTCACTAATTGTATCGTATTAGAATGTAAATTGTGACCTCCGAAATTTCCAGGTTTCGGCAATGGGACGTTTACGAATTTAATAATTCTGGTTTGAGAGCCGTTCAGCTGGAACGCTTCAGAGACATGTCTGAGGACAGACTACACTTCAATGGACACAAGAGAAAGCAGGAGAGCGTTCTCGGATTTAATCTCCATGAATAAATATGTTGGCAAGCAAAGGCTAGATATGCATCAACACTCTCTCAACATATAATATTTCATTCTGCTCTGCATTTTGGATGTGTGATTGACGTGGGGTATTTTTTTTTTGCTTTGTTTACTGGCTCCCAAAGTAAAATCTCCAACAAGTAGATCAAAGAATAATATTATAGACCGCACCAATCCGTTCAGTTAAAAGTCTTGAATTATTTTTCAAAAAAATACTAAGATTGAAAAAACGAAAGACCTTGGCATTCTTTCCAGTGCCGTGCATCCGACCTCACAGGCTTGAGGCAGGCCTCGAAATCACTAACACTCCCTCTTCCTGACCAATGAATTATTCCTGCAGGAAACTAATCCATCAATAAGCCTTCAAAGCAAAAAGATGCGTTGAACCAGGACTCTGATCAATATTTATGGGGCATACATGAATAAAACTGAGCTTCTTCAAAGAGAAACCTGCAGAAAGACAGAAAAGCCCTTTTTCTGTTCCTCGCCACAGCCGTAGATGCTAAAACCTGGTGAATTTGGAGTCTTAGCCTGAGCTAGAACCGAGAGACTCCCTGGGTGGACTGGGAAGGGTGCCTAAGATGGCTAAAAATAAAGATCGAGGAAAAACAGCGGCCTGTTAGTCCCTAATCAGTCTCCCAAGCTTAGGAACAAGTACATAGATGGCTTGTTGCTAACAGGCTTGCTCCCTAATGCTCCGGCACCACAGGAGTGTAGATTTATGTAGCACATCTATTATGATGTAGTGATTGTTGTTGATGGAAGGCATGTGAATGAGTCACAATAAGCACTGTTTGCTGGCTCTGCTCGAAACATTATTACACCCCGTGAAATCAAAAGTGAAGCTTTGTAGGTTTTAGTCTGGCATAGGCATTTGGCATATAGGCCGACACATTTTTACAACACCTATCTTTCCCTTCTATGAAAATTAAACACATCATCATCATCCTCCTCATCTTTTCTCAGGCATATCTTTAAAATGAGAATGCCCCCTCTCTCTGGACTAGAAATAGCAAATTATGGGCTGTTCAACAAAGTGCTTGCTTGCTATTTACTAGAGCCAGACCGATATATCGGCCGGCCGATATTAGGCATTTTCCATAATATCGGTATCGGCAGTTATAATGGCCGATAAATGAATATTTAAAAAATAAAATAAAAACAGACGAAACACACTTCAATCATCTCTCCTTGGCCTGTTATATTGAAAATATATGTTTTACAATTTGCAGTATGATGTTATCTATTGCTAAATTATGGCTCATCATAGACTAGCTAACCACAAAGCATGCTAATATCATCAGTGGAAGACCGCTAACGTTAACATTAATGAGCTTGGAAACCACAATGAACTTTTTTCTGCCTAAAAAGTAATTATTACTGTATTTATAACTAGCATATGTCTGGTTACAGTCCCTGCATTGTAAAATGTAAGTTATACTTGCGAGGAGTGAACATTTAGACATAGAGAAAAAGTATCATACTTATCTTGTGCAGAAAAGTTAGCTTTTCTTTGAAATCCAACAATATTTAATAATAAAAAAAAATATCGGCCGATATATCGGAATATCGGATTTTAAAACCCAAAAATATTTGTATCGGTATCGACCTTCAAAATCCTTTATCGGTCGGGCTCTACTATTTACTGAATACTACTGTACCATATCCACAGCATATTAAAAAAAGCAACTAAAACAGTGGGCATTAACCTATCATGAGCATTTTAAACAAGCCAAGTCAAAACAAAATAAATGTTACATATCACAGCTGTAATCACACAAAAAATAAAAGACCATTCAATTCACGTACATTGCATTTCATTTGGCGTAAAATAAATCCAACTGTCTAAAAAACAGATTTGTCTGTTTCAAATATAAAACACATCAACTATAGCAAGAAAATTGAATTTGCAAGCCATTTCATAGCATCTTCAACATGAAGTTAAAGACAAAATCCTGCTACAAATAAACCAACAGCCATTTATCTGCATCAGTACATAAGTATGAATGGACTCCATAAATACACTGAAGGAGTGAGTCATGGCATGCTATCAACATATTTGTGGTAGGATTCAAAAGATTACGTTGTGTGTTTGCTCCAAACTGGACTGCGTTTTTTATCAGCTGTGGACAATGGCAACAATATAAGGTCACTGGCAAAATACTGTGATGTAAAAACAACAAAAACTGCAGCACCCAGCATAAACAGCTGGGCCAACTTCAGACAGGTCAACAAAAAACAAACCTTCAGGGAGGACAACTTTATTTTTCATATCCTCTCAGCACTATCTTTAATACAGTCCTATCAGGGCAGAAGGCTCTTTCTACGTAGAACAACATTAGCTGCATCAAGTTATCCAGGCTTTGCTCATGCACGGGCTCAGATGGAATTTCAGGAATTTATTCCCCAATTTTAAGTGGAAAAACTGCGTAATTAAGCCATGAATATGATCACACTAGACTTTGAGTGCGCAACTTTTGAGACTAGACTTTTTTTACTCTACTACTACTCTCCAACCACTTTCCAAGAGGTCACAGTGTGACGTATCATTTATCTATTGGTCACACACATCTTCACGTGACCAAACTCGAACTTTGGAACGCAGCGAAACGCACAACTTCTTTGTATAAGCTTGTATTTTCAGTGTCTTGGTTTGCATATGTTTTAATGGAGGGCAATGGATTGAAAAGTGTAGTGTGAACACCCCCTTTATGTGTTTGAGGCCTGGTTTCACAAACATGGCTTAGATTAAGCCAGGATTGATTGAAGCCAGATGTTCAACTCGACATTTAAGTAGTTTTGATAAACGTGCCTTACTGGTGTGCACCTTGAGATAAAACAACAGCACTGACATGTTGGGACTAAGCCTTGTTAATGAAAACGGGGGGGAAATGTTTAAAAAATGAATATTTTACTTATAGCTGAGAGTGTCATCATCCAATTATTCAAAATATTCAGTAAATGAATAAACTAATATTTTCATTTAAAAATGATTTTTTTTGTCATTAATTACTTCATAATTCCCTCACCACCAATCGCTTGGTTCAACTTCGAAACAAATCAAGATTTTTTTGATGAAATTGGAGAGCTTTCTGACCAATTTTTAACCAAAGCATTCCAAATCTGATTGCTTTTTACATGATGAAGAGATTGAATTTAGGCTTTTATTCACATACAAACATTCAACTCACACATCAGTTCTAGTAAACAGAAGCATGATCGCTTGACAACCAAGAAACAATGAGATTCATTCCTGTGTGTTACGCAGCACATTTGAGCTTCCGCATGAACCAATGAGGTTTATTCTTGTGAGTTAATGTTCGCTGATCAATGTTTAAATGTGAATAAAAGCCTAAATTCAATAGCTTCAGAAAATTTGGACTAAACCGCTCAATTCATATGGATTAGTTTTACTTTTTGAAGCGTCGAATTGGTAGTTGCGTAGCTGTCAATGGAGGGAGATTTCATCAAAAATACCTTAATTTGTGTACCAAAGATTAATAAAAGTCTTGCAGGCTTGGAATGACATTAGTATGAGCGATTAATGAGTAAACTAACATTTTAATGTTGTTTTAGGTGGGGTACCACTGCTCTACAAGACTATACAAGACCAAAAGTTTCCATGACGTACTTTTGATGGGTGTTTATGAAATGGACACTGAGAGAAACCGTAAGTAGAGGGGTCAGTGTGGAGGAGTATCACTTAATTTGCCAGATTTAAGAAAAAGCAGAGACTGTGTTCCAAAACCTATTGAGCTGTCTTGCTGTCTACTGCCTACAAAAGGCAACTGTACCAGCAGTATTCCCATGATGCTTTAAAATAGTGCCTACTCAGGCAGCTCTGTAGTTTTCAGAACAAAGCCACATCCTTGTTATGGCGCTGGACTGTGTGCATCACTAGGAACAAATGAGGAAATCTAGGGCCTGGGGCTCCACATAATGCCACTTTATGTTACTTCAAACATGCAAAATGACCCCAGGAAAGAGACAGAGGAAGTTTTTCCAAGAATTACTGTCTAGCCACATTTTAAGGTACCAGACAGTATGGGCTGAATTATGCATCTTTGTGAGACTGAAAGAGATTGCAGCCATGGTCTCTGATTCACCTCTCTCTGAGACATGATGAATTATGAGTCTTCAAATTGGACCCTGAGGATGTTTATACGCCTATAAGGGAGTAACAGTGGAAGAGTGCTATTACATGTCAAAAAGTCACAAACATAAACATTTTGAAAGCACGCTTCATTATATTATTTTGCTGTGTGTGTGTGTGTGTGTGTTTTTTTGTCGCATAACATGACACATTGCATAAAAGTGTACTACAAAGCCGTACAACTTACAACAAATCTATAAAAAAAAAAGATAATGCAGAGACAGCATCCTGATATTTCTGTTGCATAATACAAACTGAGGTTAAACGGTCACAGGTAACTTATATTTTTAAGTTAATACTGTGTTTACCTTCTCTACAGAAACTTTTAATTAGGCGGGGATACTAAAGTTCTGACTTTGCAGCAAATAAAAATAAAAACTATTAAACCAGAAAGTTTAGAATGGCACAGCCCCGTGTATTTAACCTAAGAACACCGCAGTCGTGAACATTTATGCAGCATAAATCAATAAGCGACGGTCCCTTTAAGAACGTGAACGCGTCTTTTCCATTGCGACTGTCTGCAACAACTTCAATTGCTTTTTCCTTGCAGAAATGCAGCATATTTACTCCCTCGAAGCACCCCGGGCCACCATCAAATAACTCCATATGATAGATAGAAATGGCTTACGTTTGTAAATGTGTCGTCGTGATGGGGACCGAGCCGCAGAGGGAAGTGTCTCTCCTCCAGACGAGGCTGTCAAGAGCGTCTAGACTGACTGTCTCACTCTCATGGCCAAAACTCAGCAGAGCACAAACTCCCGTTGTGTTCCAGTCAGTCCAGCCCTCCGTCTCGCTCTAGGAGTCATTTACAACACACTAGAGCGACATCTGCAGGACAGGAGTACCAATGAGCGCACATCAACGTCGATAGATAGATAGATAGATAGATAGATAGATAGATAGATAGATAGATAGATAGATAGATAGATAGATAGATAGATAGATAGATAGATAGATAGATAGATAGATAGATAGATAGATAGATAGATAGATAGATAGATAGATAGATAGATAGATAGATAGATAGATAGATAGATAGATAGATAGATAGATAGATAGATAGATAGATAGATAGATAGATAGATAGATAGATAGATATTTTAAGCTCATTTAAATAAAAAATTGAGTTTCATAAATAGAAACTCAAAATATTATGTTATCTGAACCACATAAATTATTTACGTTGATTTGACAAAAGATACAATTAAATTTACGACGTCACTTTGTAGGCCAAAACGCGGAAGTGAGTTAGCATTTTAGCACTACGGTTCCCTCGCTCTAAAGCCTATGGGATTTTTGAATGGGTTTTTGCTAAATCGCCTGAAATAAGGTCTGTGGTGAAATATTTTCATATTTTGATATATGACATACAACACACAGTTATAACCTGCTTGTGTGTTGTTGTTTTTTTAACTTTATTGTGTTATTTTATTTTTTAAAATCTTAATATAGGCTTCAAAATTTATACATTTTGGATTAACTTGTAAAGATTATCTTGATAGACAAAACGTGTAAGGGTCACAACTCTTTGTTAAACACTGATCTTATTTTTTTGCGATTTTCCAAAAGTCTATGGGGAAAATATTGGTTTTCGACCGAGGGAACCCATGCGCCGCTAGCTTCCGAATTGTCCTACAAAGTGACGTCATCACTTCGGCACTCTAGATGATTGATATTGGATGGATGGGTGGACAGTCAGACTAATAGTATAGCCTATGTGTATAACATACAATAATGAGGATGAAAAAGAAGGTATTTATTCAGCAACCAGTATGGCAATGCCTGTGTGTGTGAAGACTGAAGGCCAGACATCACCACCTGGAGTGAGTTTAACTGCATGGGGCCTGTGTGTGTGTGTGTGTGTAAGTCTGTCTGGAGGGATGAGACAGCGTAAGGAGGGGGAAAGGGAGGTGCTAATTTTGCAGAGGTGTTGTGTCATTTATCCTCTTAAAAACTAATTTACCAAAACATGACTGAACCCCCTGGCAGGGATTTAACAAGTGTGTTTGTCATTGCTGTATGGTTGTGTTGTGTATGAGAGAGTCCTTGCCACCCAATGTAGACATGGCCACAGGGTTGGCAGGTGTGCAATCAGGCCACGATACTACAGTATGTTCTCTTGATTAACACACTCTCAGCAGCCTGAGGATCAAAGCCCTGAACAGTTACATCTGCCACAGACAGAAGAAATAAACCCAGAACTATATGACCCAAATTGTTAGATCCGGCTCAGTAGCCTAATGGATGGCCAAGGCAGGACTTAGAAAACAAAATTGCAATCTGATATATAGACACTATTCGATTTGTAACTACAATAAAATTGAGCAAATTCATATATAAATCTGTTTTAACCTCACAAAATGCACAGTACAAAATTATTTCTTTGACAGTGTTTTTATTATTATTATTAATATGAGACAAATATTTGGATCATATGTGAGGATTAATTTCAAGGACATGCCTAAACATTTACTGTCCTAAAACAACGCCCATTTTAAAACTATGATTTATTTCATTTTTCCATTTTCATTAAAAAAAAAAACAATTGTCTAATACTACAATGCAAAAAAAAAAAAATCTAATTTTATTACTAGGAGATACAAATATTTTAATACTGAAATACAAAAAATATTTGAAATTATGTATGCAGTGTGTGCATTACATCACAGTAGCGTCTCTTTTACTGTCCTTGAAAAATTATTTTAATAAAAAAAAAAAAAAACGTTTAATAACTGCATTTTTTACTGTAACCCAAACCCAAAATTACAATACAGTAAGGTACATCTATTACATATATACCTTATATTACAGTAAGGTATTACATTACACTAAGAATGTAAAAAAAATCTGATATTATTATACATGTTTAAATAATGTTTTTCATGCTTGTTCAGTGAACCATGACTAATTATTGCACAAGACACTAACAGTTTACAGTCAGTAGCATTGGCATTAACATGCGATCATCGTGATCCGATCAAGCACATCGGATCATTAACCAGCTTCTGTATCTGGATAATTGATGGGATTTCTGTTTCCTACATAATATTTAAATTAGGTCTGTGGCATGACACCAGATTAAGAGTAAAGATGATCCCAATTAAACAATATTTCACTCACGCACTTTAAAATTAGGTTCAAATGAGGTTTTCTAATACTTCCTAAAGGCCAATTTATACTTCTGCGTCGAGGGTACGCCGTAGTGTACGGCGTTGGCTACGCACGTAGGCGACGCCGTTGTGAGCATTTATACTTCTGCGTCCAGGTCTTGGTTGCTCTGCAGTACTGCTCCGAAACGCTAGTTGGCGGCGGAGAGTTTTAATGTTCCACTGTGTTTAGATTCCTCGCGGCTAGGTTACTACGAGTGAAAGAGAGCTGATCATGTTGGAGTTGGAGCTTATTAAGGTGGAAAAACAGTTCACTTTAGTGAAATTACTAAAACTGAAAGGCAGAAATGAGAGAAGACGTCGGAGGAGATGAAACGTGTGGAAATCATAGACAGTGGTGGAAATGCGTGAGAAGGTACGTGCGGAAATGCGTAGGAGGAAATGCGATGCTACCAAGCCGACCAATCACCGATCTTGCGGTCCGCGTCGTCGCGACGTGTAGTTACATTTTTGAGGAGGTGCGCGTCAGGCGACGGCGAAGGGTATGCGGTATGGGACGCGTCTGTGCGTATGCTACGCCGTACCTACAGCGCGCACCCTACGCAGAAGTATAAATTGGCCTTAAGTTAATCATGCAAAAATAACATTGATAAACATGCAGAAACAATAAAAACATTTAAAACATCAAAAAGTTCAGATTTCGATTATTCCTCTGGCAAAGCAGCGTGCCGCTCTTCATTAAGATCTCATGACTGACTGTGATGATTGTCCAGTCGATTGTCTCGTACAGATAATGTTGCACAATTAAAATGAAAAATGACACACATTATATCATGTAAGTCTAAATAAACTGTTTTAAAGATTGACGTTTATATAGGTTCAACATATGTAAGGTTCAAATAAGTTTTGTAAGTGTAGAAAATGTTTTGTCTTTTATTTTGTAATTTACGTGCGCTTCCAGGTGTGACGGTCACATGGGTATTGGTGGGTATATACCTGATAGTGTTTCCTGTTTGGGGTGTGTGGAGAGGGGGTGAGTAGCGGGGAGTGCTCACTTTCTGTTGACCGTTAGCATGTATGTTCTTCATTGTTTCTGCGTGTATGTCAATAAAAGCTACTGAATATTCAATGCAAGAAAACGCGTCACGGATATTTCCTGCTGCCTAGCCTCTCAGCGGCTATAGGTTGCCGCTACATTTAAGTCAACAGAAAACTACACAACGAAGGGATTATGGACGCAACTTGGAAACGGCTGTTCCTGCATACAGCATGTAGTGGCGGACGTGCACTGCAGAGTTTGGATTGACGGACACGACGCACATACAGACGGCAAATGAGGTACGTTCGCGGTTTCAATGGATTGTGCTGTATCGCCGTAGTGGAAGTTGTGGAAGACGCTGTTGTTGTCATTGGATTGGCGTTGAGTTGAACGCGCTCTGTGTTGCTCTGGTACTTATGGGCTCTCGTGTGATTTACTGCCTGGTTACGTTCATTCATTGTTTGGCTCTGTGAGCGTGCGGTTTGGAACGGAGCTCGCATTGTCCGTCGCGTTGGAGAATGATGAATTCAGAGGATATGGATAACGCTGTTGTTGATGGCAGCAAACGAGAGCATAAACCCACGACAAAGGCGTTGGTGGCTAAGATTGAAGCCTTGCAAAGGGATCGCAAGAGTAAAGTAAACAAAGTGAAGAATTTGATCGGATCAATGAAAGAGCTGATGAAATGCGATGATAATGCGTCTCAAGTGTGTTCTATGTTGAAAACGATACAGGTGCTTATGGATGATGCAATTGCGCTACATAAAGGAGTATTGCCTCTACTACCTAATGAGGAACAAAGTAAACAAAATGAATGGTTTGACTCCATTTTGGAACATTATAATGGTTTTGTGGATGACGTTCAACGATGGACGAACGAAGCTTGCACCGCTTCTTCTATTATCCGTGGGCCTGTGGTTGGGGAAGCCATTGTTACATCTCAAGGAGTTTGTGCATCTGACATTACATCCTCTATTGACATGTTGTCTACAGCACACAATACTCGGCCCTTCAATGTACATCACCTACAAGCTGGAATGTATTCCGGGAACCTTGAAAATGAAATTCAACCAACGGACAGTGCTTCAAATATAAGCAGTAAAAGATCTTCTGGAGCTACATCTCATGGGTCTCGATCCTGCCGATCTTCTATGCGTCTCAAGGCTGAGGCAGAATTGGCTGCTTTATTGGCTTCTCAAAAGATGCTGCAATTGAAACATGATTTAGAGGAACGAGGGGAACAGTTGAGAAAAAGGAAGGAAAAACTGGATTTGGAAATCAAATTAGCTGAGTCAATGGCAAGAGTAAAAGTGTATCAAGACGTTCAATCCGTATCCTATTCATCTGTGGATAGGAATGTGCTGAAACCCCTACATTCGGTAGCAGAACCATTTGTTCCTTCTGCTAGTGTCCCAGCAGCATCAGAGTCCATACCGGTAGCACGTACATCACATATCAATGGTACACAAAGGATCCCAAATTATTCTCCACCTCGTTTAGGACAACAACAATCAACAAGACCTAAAATGAAACCTTCACAAGCTACATTGCCTGATTTGTCATCATTGGATATTCAGAATCGCGATGGTCATGGGTCAAGAAGACCAAG